TTTATAGATCAAAGTATTTAATATTAAGATGGCAATACTCTCAAATAAACAGACATCTCATGTTTATAAATCAAAATATTTAATATTATTTAAGATGGCATACTCCCAAAACAAATCGACAGACTCAAGGCAATCTGATATAGGCTACAACACGGATGAAACTTTGAAGACACTATTCTAAGTGAAATAAGCCAGTCACAAAAAGACAAATACTGCATGATTCCACTTATATGAGGAACCTAGAGTAGTCAAATTCATAGAGATAAAAAGTAGAATGGCAGTTGACAAGGGGTAGCAGCGAATACGGAGTTACTATTTAATAGATACAGAGTTTCAGATTTACAAGAAAGAGTTCTGTGGATAGATGGTGGTGATGTTTTGCACAACAATGTGAATGTATTTAATGCCACTGAACTGTATACTTAAAAATGGGTAAAATGGTAAGTTTTATATTATGTGTATTTTATCACCATTTAAATATTAAATTTTTAAAAAGAAGAAAAACAGATGAAGTGGATATCATCAAAATTAAAAACTTTGTACTGCAATCAATATCATCAATTAAGAGACTAGACAACCCAGAGTGGGAGAAAACTTTTGCAAATAATGTATCCGATAAAGGACTTGTATTCAAAATATATAAAGAACTCTTGCAACTCAATAACAAAAAGATAAATAACCCAATAAAAAAGGGAGTGAGAATCTGAATAGACATTTCTCCAAAGAAGATATACAAATGGCCAATAAACACAAAAAAAGACGCTCAACATCAGTGGCCATTAGGGAAATGTAAGCTAAAACCACAAGATACCACCTCACACCCACCAGAATGGCTATAATCACAAAGACAGAAAATAACAAGTGTTGCTGAGAAAGTGGAGAAATTGGAACCCTCATAATGCTGGTGGGAATTGTAATATGGTGCACACTCTTTGGAAAACAGTTGAGCAGTTCTTCAAAATGTTAAACACTGTTATCAAGAACCAGCAATTCTACTCCTAGATATATATCAAACAGATGTGAAAATATACATATTCACAAAAACATGTACATGAATGTTCACAGCAACTTTATTCATAAGAGCCAAAAAAGTGAAAACAACCCAAATGTCCATCAACTGATGAATGGGTACACAAAATGTGACATATCCATACAATCTACTATTATTGGCAATAAAAAGGAATGAGTACTGATTCATGTTATAACATATAAATCTTGAAAACATACACAGTGAAAGAACCCAGTCACACAAGATCACATTATTGTATGATTTCATCTATATGAAAATCTCCAGAATAGGCAAATTTACAGACACAGTGGGAATGCTGAGGGAGGTGTGGAGTGGGGAGTGACCACTAACAGTTACAGGGTTTCCTTGGGAGTATAAAAATGTTCTAAAATTAGAGTATAGTGATGTTTGCACAACTCAGTGAACTGTACACTTGAAATGGATGAAGTGTATAGTATGTGAATTACACCTCAATAAAGCTGTTTAAAAAAAGCTACTGACAGATGGTTTTAACTTTTATTCTAAATAAGTCATTCTTCCTCCCAAAGCTCTATCTCGGTTGCTTTTATTATTTATCTGAACACTTTAAAAAAGAGGGAGATTTTTCTTGTCCAGCGGGTAAAAGCGTAGAAGTCATTCCCATTTGCACAAGAAAAGAGCTAAACAAACTGAAAATCAACAGCTCTGCTTAGATCCATCAGAGAACTGAGTTCACAGGGTAAACCACCAGCCAGAAAACTGGAGAGAGAGGAAAATACAAAGAATCACAGATTATGGGGAGCAGAAGCTGCTGAAGCCAGGAACTGGTAGGAAAAATTAAACTGCATTTGACAAACTGCTAGGGGCTAAGAGCATGGACTCACTTTAGAGATAAAAACTCCTGGGGCCCAGCCTTAGGGAAGGACCCCACATTTTCAAGAGTTTTACTTCCAGAAGCCCCACAAGGATCTCTGGATAAAGATGGAACAAAAATACCCTCATATTTCTGGCAGGAGGAGGGGAAAAGTAGCCATTTTAGAAGCAGCCCAGAGCCCTCTGTTCTCCGTAATGAAAGACTGACCTCAAAGGAAATTATATTACCAGAGCCTGAATTGGTTTTACCAGAACCTAACCAACCTGGGAGAAGAAAAATACCCAACTCCAGCCCCCTCTAACCTTCCTGTTTCACCTACGTAGGGGTAAGATGCTGAGAAGCACTTGTAAATATAACAGTCCAGGGACGCAGGCTCACTAAAAGACTGAGACCTAATCACAGGATTATTATAATGCAGCCTCTCCCCTCCACACATTACCACTACATCAACAGGGCTCCTGTATAACAACAGGAGGTTACAGATGAAAGAACGCAAGCAAGGCTCAGACTATTTAAGAAGGAGTCTCAAGGGAAACCAAAAGACAACAGGAGAGACAAAAACAAGGACATGAGAGGAAATTTTAGCGTCTGACACCACAGTTACAGCAAACTGTTTAACTTTTAGCAAGATAAACTTAAAACCTTACACCAAAGGTCTATTTACCTCAGTTCTTTTTACATCATGTCCAAGGTTCAACAAAAAATCACAAGGCATGTTAAAAGGCAAAAAACAATGTGAAGAGACAAAGCAAGAAATAGAACCTGACTCAGATATGGCAAAGATTTCGAATTATCAGACTAGGAATTTAAAATAACTATGATTAATAAGCTGAGAGCTCTAACTGAAAAAGTGGACATGTAAGAACAGATGAGTAATGTAAGCAGAACGATGAAAACTCTAAGAAAGAATCAAAACGAAATGACAGAAATCAAAAACACTGTAACAGAAATGAAGGATGCCTTTGATGAGCTCATCAATAGGCTGAACATGCCAAGGAATGAAATCAGTGAGCTTTAAGGTAGGTCAATGCAAATGCAAAGAGAAAAAAGAACATAATATCCGAGGACAATTTCAAAGGACGTAATGGCGGGGGTAAGGGGTGGGAGGAATGACACACTGCAATCTGAGAATTCCTTACGAAGCCATGCTATAATTTGTACAAGACAGCCAGAAAAATACATTTTTAGACATAATGCCTTTCTCAAATCCTAGGGAAGTCCTCATCTCATCTCTGGGACCAGATCAGACATGAGCTGGGACCCTTAGATAGTTCTGACATCAAAATTACTTCTGATAAAATTAGGATATTTGAGGCCAGTCATTTCAACTATGCTCATCATTGAAATCCCCGGTAGAGAGAAAAGGCAAATACTACCAGTCTCCTGTTGCCACATTTTATTCCTGCTGTTTTCTTACCTTGGTTCTTCCCACTATTTATTCTTCCCCTCCCTCCTTTCCTCCATGCTCTTTGAAACCATTCTGCTATTTAATAAACAACCATTCTCAAATTTTTCATAGAATACTCTCTAACTTTTTGCCTTAAAAGAAACTTGATTTTCCCCTTGACAATACTACTACCCTTGCAGTCCTCTCCCATATACCATGATTCTAGAAACAGGCAGAGATAGAAGTTAGCATTTAACTATTTCTCATAACTATTTCCTTACCATTATTTTCCATCTTCCTCAAATAAACAAACAAACATACAAATAAAATCTTTTTGAGGTTTAGATGACACACAGCTTCTATATCATCCTCCATCTATCACTTTCTCCTTACAACTCTCAGTTGCTCCCATTCATTTGTTTTTGTTTTTGCTTTTGGTGAGGAAGATCAGCCCTGAGCTAACCTATGTTGCCAATCTCCCTCTTTTTGCTTGAGGAAGATTTGCTGAGCTAACATCTGTGCCAGTCTTCCTCCACTTTATATGTGGGATGCTGCCACAGCATGGCTTGATGAGCAGTGTGTAGGTCCGCACCTGGGATACAAACCCGTGAACCCTGGGTCACTGAAGCAGAGCACACGAACTTAACCACTATGACACCAGGCCAGCCCTCTATTTATTTTTTGAAGACTTTAAGGTCTGGTTCACAGGCTTTCCCTAAACCCCAAATCCCACATTAATGAGAAGATATTTAAACACAGTTAACCAATCCAATAAGCTAGCCTCAAAATCTCAATTTACTTTACCCAGTGATCTGTATTCAACTTCTACTGTCCAATCCCAGGGCCATGCAATGGATCTAATCACCCTTCAATAAGATCCCCATTTAAATGTACTAACTCAATCTGACCAAAATTACCTATTCCTCTAGCTCTCTCAGTAACTTATACCCAGCTCACCTATTCAATCTCACAAATAAACCTCTGTTCCCTCTATTTTCTTCCAGACTAACAACTCTTCTGGCTTCTCTTCTTTCCCTATGCAGGCTGAAATCAACAGCTCATCACCTCCTCTCACTGATTCCCTTCCACTGCTTTCCTGCCACCGCACCACCCACTCAACAAATCCCTCAACCAAGGATCAATCCTGTAATTGATCTTCTCTATTCCTGAGTTTTAGTAGAGAAAAATCAGAGTCTATATAGACTGACAACATTATAGAATCATCTCTAACCTCAGCTACCTTCTCAGAACCACTTGCCAATCCTTTTGCTTGTCCTTGGTCAGCTCCATCTCCTATTCACTTCAACATAAATTCTAAGCCTCCACCAAGCCACTCTTCTCAAACCCCCTATCCCACCTCTACAACTTCTCACCTCCCTCAGCAGATAATCTTGCTTTCTACCTCAAAACTGATCTCTCAATTTCCTGTCTACAAACCTATTTGTATCCACTCATGTCCTTTTGTGCTCAATTAATTCCTTTTTCCCTTCAAGTCACAGAAAGGAATATAGAAACAAACTCTCTCTAATATTAGATTCTTTCATGTAATTCAGTTCTAAACATTGTCATGAAAAATGCAACGAAAAATCAAATGGTTCATCTAACAAAAGATCAGGGGATCTAGGGATAAATACACCTAATCTGAAGTTAACATTATTGCAGGAGTTCAAAAATAAAAAATTAGTTAGGCATAGCAAGATATTTTTAACAAGCTAGCCATAAGGACACTTACTATCTCCTTTCCTACTTACCCGCTAAATGTTTGAGAGTCTTGGGCACAGTGTCAGGAGATACCCTCAACATTCTGAGATCTGAAGAGTGATACTCCAACTCTCTGGCTGGCTCATGAGGAACAAATGGCGGCAATACAGATGAAAAAGACTGATTAATGTCCACATTAGAATGACCTACCTATGAAAAGAGATTAAAAAAATGAAGAAAATAAGATTAATTTTAGAGTTCATCCGCTAAAAAACAAACTTCATTTTTATGAAAATGAATACCAAGCAGTTACACCAGTTAGTTAAGATCATATTCTCAACCCTCCTAAATTCATATACAGGTCATATCTTGTTTGGTCAATACCAAGAAGGCTCTACAAACTATTCTGAGGGTACAGAAGTCTGCCTGTATAGAATATCCCAGATGGGAGGGCTAGAAGTGTTCTAGTACTCGCAAGTTTGCTCCTTATAATAGTATGATCCCTGCAGGATTTGAACTGTGATATTATTCTTGACAAGCTCAAGGATTTTTTTTTTTTAAGTAGGAGAGGTGTGTTGTGGAAAGGAAAGAGGAACAGAGGGAAAAGAGAACAGGAATATTTTCAAACTATCCACAAATGTTTAGAAGAAAAATAAAAGCATCAAAGAACTGCATCTGTGATCAGTTATGAAAGAACACAACTCCTCAAATTTCTTGAAATAAAAGTAGTGGAAAATATAAACTGATAGTGAAGTAAAAGTTAAATACTGAAAAAGAAGTTCCTAAAATTTCATAGGATCTCAACAAGTCCTTACAAGAAAAAAAAATTAGAAACCATTACTAATGATGTTAGTACATAAACACACACAATTTTTCACCAAATACAGAGTATACTTTCATATAAAAACAATATACTACTTTTAGGTTTCTTTATTCTCCTAAAAAGATTATTCTAGTGATACCCTGACAGGAGAGAGCCTAAAAATGTACATAAGCATGAATTTTTCTATCCTTTTTTATCAAAATTTTTTCACTGTGTAGTAATGAACATTCTTAGGAAGCTGGAGGGTGTGGAAAGGAATATTCTACTTCTACTGACATATAGGTTTCTCTAGACTAGTGGTTCTCAATTGGAGGAGATTTTGCATGTACCCACCTCTCCCACCAAGGAACATTTGGCAATGCCTGGAGACATTTTTCACTATCATAACTTTGAGGGGAGGAATGCTACTGGCATCTAGTGAGTAAAGGCCAAGGATATTGCTAAATCCTAAAATGCACAGAACAGCTCCCATAACAAAGAATTATTCAACCCAAAATGACAATAGTGCAGAGAAACCCTGCTCTAAACATGGCACAAAGTTCTGTTTTCAATTAGCCACTCCTGAAGGAGAGTTTTTTGAAGTGCAGCTTATTAACATATATACCGTATATATGACAGATAGATACTTGTGTGTGTTTAATAATAGTTTTTCCCTACAGCTTCCAAATGTAGGAGGAAATAATTTCTATTCCAACCTTGACTTCAATAAAACTTCATTATATGAAAGATTCAAAATATACAGATATTAGAGTAGGTAATACAAAAGAAAATGTAGAATGAAAAAGATGAGAAGTGTTTATTTAAGAGATCAGCAGATCTTCATTACTAATTGAAAATGCAAGGAATCAGGAGGGAAAAAATCACAAAGAAAAGCATTTAAACCTTGGGAGGAAACTATGTCTTTGGGGGGACAGAGGACGCACAAAACAAAAAGAAATCTAAAGAGTAAACCTTAAATAATATTTAGAGTTACATGGCCAAAATAAGGGATAATAAAACAGTATTTTATCACAGAGGCTAGAAGAATGTAATATGCTGCTACAGGAACAAGGAGAAAGAAAAAACAAAATAACAACAGAGAACAACAAACTACTGGTGAGAGCCTAGTAAGTCTAGTTTCAGCACAGTGAAGAGAACAAACAGCCAGGCACTATCTAAAGTGATATACCTTACCTCATTTAATATAACAATGCATGAGGTTGATTATTACTACTCCTTTTTCTCTCTGTAGATGAAGAGAATGATCCTCCAAAGTTACTTATTTGCCCAAGACACAAGGCTAGCAAATAAGTGAACAGGGTTTTGACTCCAAATCTCCACATTCTTTTCATTGCCGCAATCTACATCATACATCAGTGGATACCCAAATACTCATTTAGAGAATGATGGGTAGGTACCAAAGTGAGACAAACAAGTATGAATGACTCTTCTGAGACACAGATAAGAATAAGGAAGAAACCAAGGAGTTTCAAACCCCCTGAGAGCAAGCTGAGCCACACAGGAAGATAACTTCAATATCTGGCTCCTTGTTTCCCTAACATTGGCATTATGTAACTCTGAGATCACAGAATACAGCTAAGAGTGAAGGACAATACACAGTCCCTCACCTGAAAAACTATACTTAAGGCTACAGTTAAGAGCAAATAAAATTTGGAATAGTGGTCAGAGTTAATCTCAGCACATCACCACTAACTGAATACATAGCTTCATTTCTTTAAATAAATTGTATCTATATGAAAAGTTGATGTAAGTTACAAAAGTAGTATAATCAAAAAAATTAGAAACTTCTAAGTTGAAAATTGATCATATTTTGGGGATCGGCTAGGTGGTTAAGTTCACGTGCTCCACTTCAGCGCCCCAGGATTCACAGGTTCGGATCCCAGGCACAGACCTAGCACCACTCATCAAGCCATGGTATGGTGGTGACCCACATAAAATAGAGGAGGATTGGCACAGATTTTAGCTCAGTGACAATCTTCCTCAAGCAAAAAGAGAAAGATTGGCAACAGATGTTAGCTCAGGGTCAATTTTCCTCACACACACACACACACAAAATTGATCATATTTTGTTTCTCAATCTTAGTGAAACTGACTTTGACAACTCTCCTTTGCTCTTGCCAAAATAATGCAAAATCTTGGCCCTGGTTTCACTGAAGAATAGTTAAACAGGGAGGCAGTACATAACTAAGCTTAGTTTCAAATACTAGTTCCCCTACTAGCTAAACAACCTTGAGCAAGTTCCTTAACCATCTAAGTGTCAATTGTAAAATGGGATGATGATAATCCCCAACAATCCTACCTGATAGGATTGACCAAAGGACTAAACAAATTGATGTACATAAGTAAAACTGTTAGCATAGTATTTGAGCACAGAATATTAGCTATCATTTTCATACCCATTGTTATTAATTAGAACTAAATAATGCTTACTTTACAATGTTGAAGAAAATAAAATGAACCTAACAGTTCTCTCTATTAAAAATTTCTATAAATTCAATTATAATAAGGAGGAAAAGTTCATCACAATATCTGTTCATTTTCTCTTATCAATTGTCTGAAACTAAAGGTCTAAATATGGTTCCAACCTAAACTAATAGCTTTCCAATGACGTACTAATCTTACTCATCAGAAAATAGGAAAAGAGGTCAGCAACATGGTGGCATGAGCTCACCTGGGACTCTCTCCCCTCGAAAGTACAACCAAAAAGAACAAACGCTTTCCAACCAAAAAAACAATCTTAATAACAGAAATCGTCAGAGACCCACAGCAGCCAAATGACGGAAGGCAGAGAGACTGCAGCCGGCCTGGGAGGATCTGGAACGGGGGTAGGAGAGAACTTCGCTCTCTCCCCTAAGGACTGGGATCCCTGCCACGGGTGCAGGAAGGAGTGGGGGAGGGGCCAAGCATGGGGGATAGTCCAGGACGCCCACCACCCGTGCAGCAGAAACCCTCCAACAGGGGAAAGCTTTCCCGTGGGGGAGCCCCAGCAAGCCAGGGCCTCAGGAGACCAGAAAGTCAGATCTGAACCAATACAGGTCACGCAAGTGAAAGTGCCCCTCCTCCCCCAACCCACGCTGGGTGCCGCCATCTTGGCTGCAGGTGCAGGGCTCAGAAAACAAGCCTCTCGACCCCTATCTAGTGGCGACAGGCTGTAATTGCAGCCGAATAATAGAATCATGTGCAAAAACCGCTGCTCTACCATCCAGCAATTTATAAAAGCTCCAGTCCAAAAGGAAAACAATAAAAATACAGAAGTAGGTCCTGAGGGCTTGGAAATGGCTAAACTAAGTGAAGAGGAGTTCAAAATGGCTATCCTCAAAATATTCAATGAGGTAAAGGGAAATATAGAGACACAAGTCAACGAGTTCTGGAGTTACTTCACAAAAGAGATTGAAATTGTAAAGAAGAATCAATTAAAAATACTAGAGATGAAAAATACAATGAATCAGATAAAACAGAATACGGATTCACTGAATGCCTGTGTAGACAGCATAGAGGGGAAAATTAGCATAATTGAAGATAGACAGGCTGAATGGCTCCAGACAGAGGAAGAAAGAGAACCAAGAATTAAAAAAACTGAAGAAAATCACAGAGAAAAAGCTGACTCAATGAGAAAACGCAACTTAAGAATCATCGGAATTCCTGAGGGCATGGAAAAGGAAAATGGAGGAGAAAGTGTGTTCAACGAAATAATAGAGGAGAACTTCCCAAATCTAGGGATTGAGAGAGAAATGTGTGTTGAGGAAGCTTTCAGCTCTCCTACATTTTTCAATGTAAAAAGACATACTGCAAGGCACATAGTAGTAAAAATGGCAAAAATGAAGGACAAAGAAAGAATACTCAGGGCAGCAAGACAGAAGAAACTAACCTACAAAGGAACCCCCATCAGACTTTCAGTGGATTTCTCTACAGAAACCGTACAAGCTAGGGGAGATTAGAGTGACATATTCAAAACTTTAAAGGATTAAAATCTTCTGCCAAGAATACTCTATCCAGCAAAAATATCCTTCAGATATGAGGGAGAAATTAAATCTTTTCCAGACAAACAAAAGCTGAGGGACTTCGTAGTCTCACGACCTCCACTACAAGATATCCTCAAGAAAGCTCTCATACCTGAAAAAAGAAAAAAAGGGAGTAAGGGGTCACAAAACACAGAGTAGGGAGACAAATAGATAGAATCTGAATAGGATAGCAAATATTCAACTATAGCATTAGGATAAAGGGAAGGAAATCACAAAAGCAGAGACAATCGTATCATTCTAACCACAAACTCACAACACAAGTTGGAATAAGAGATGAAAATAATAATTTAGGAGGGGAGGAGGAAAGGGACTGAAACAGTCTAGGCTAAGGAAGTAAGAGACCACCAGAAAATGGACTATGTTAT